GGGTAAGTCAAACTACATCTATTGATTGTCTGCCACATCCATCGGCATCCTTATTTTATTCTATAATTGGCGTTTCATTGACACCTATTTTATCGTTTAAAGATTTCACTAGGTAATTTTTAATGCGAGTAAGGGCTATTTGATAATAACATACTCCACGCTTTTATAACTACTATGATGATATGCTCTCTTTTCTCATGAGTTTAGTAATCGGATCTCATGATTAACTTCCTAGTTCGTGCTGATCAGGAACTTATAACTTCGTATCTTAAAATCGGCCCGTGAATTCATTTTACTTGGAAGCAATACCTTTAATTTTTTACATAAAGACTTTGCCTAAGGCTTTTATAGGTCCTTTCTCAGGCTGAAAATGTGGACTTCGATTATTCCTTGAATTTTTGAGAATGCATGTTCATTTTATCCGAGCCATTTTCGACCATTTTCTCTTCCCATAGTCATCCTCCATGTAATAAGCTCTAGTGAAAATTTTTAGACCTGAGAATGTTCCATTTCATTTTTTAAACTTCATTGAAAGCGACTTTCTATTCACAAAATTTTCCGGCCACAATTAGGCGTATATACTAACTCACTCAATTCAGTATTGTGGCAGACAATGTTATGAATTAAATTGTAAGATGAAGTATTTATTTAGCTAATTACTCCCCCCAATGCCTTAAAACTATACTATGGTCCTGTTAGATTTATAGACTAGAGGAATTTAAATTTCGTATTTTCATCACTAGTGCTCGGTTTTTAATATTCAATATATACTGAGTTGTTTATCTGATAGTTAATTCAGTTTAGGGCAAAAAGTGTCGTCGACACAGCAGAAGCTTTGTCGAATGGTTGTTTCCAGCCATGTTGTCTAATGACAATTATTTGTCTCTTCTATTCTCTTTTCTATATGGTGAGGAGGCCTGCATTCATAATTGATCTTCTACACAGCTACAACCCTACTCATAATCTAAACTATTTGAATAATGCTAATATTCGTATTATTTACTTTCAGGGCCTCACTCAGTGTCCCTCAGGGCCGATCGACTTGGCCAAGCCTAGCATTAATCAGTTCGCCGATTCAAGTCCCTTGACCGGGGCGCAACAGCTGTTTACAATTCCCATATCTGATTGCAACGATTCAGAAGAAAGTGCTTCACATCACAATCTAATACGTATGTCTGAGTCAGATATTGAAGGAAAACAGCAACAAACAGCAGAGTTTTGTACGACTTCTGCCGAGCCCCAGGCTATAGAAAATTCTTCCATGAAGGTTTCGGACAACACCGAAGTCGCAGAAAGCATGATTGTGATGGCCTTGTCTGCGTGCGATACCAGCGCTATGATGCCAGCTGTACCGAATTTGGCTGGTCAATCGACGGTATCGGAACTTATACAGACCTCCATTCAGCAGTCTGTTGTGGAGGAGGAGGAAGAAATCGGAGCCAAACCATCAACCACACCACTCCAA